ATTTTATGTTTATATAATTGACAAAGTTCTTCTGTGAACCAAATTTTCTCACGAGATTTCAATGTTATTATCTTATGTGGAATGAATTTATTTATTTGCTCAAGAAGAATTTCTTCAAATGCTACTACCTTATCATCAAGGTTACTGTAATTACGGATAAGATGGTAGAAAGGAATGTCTGAACAAGTTTTATTGATCAGATCCCAGTTAACAAATTTATAATCATATATAGTCCATACAATTTCCTGTTTACGAGTTACTCGAATGTTTAAGATAAACTCAATAAAACTATGATCACTACGTTCTAGCTTAGGTATAATTGATACATCAGATACAAATCAGGGATCAGATGTAATGATCAAATCCAAACACGTTTCAGAAACTGGTCGAGTTACTCCAGAAACAAGTTGATTTAAATTACGAGATATCAGGTATTTACTTAACTGAATACCCTCGACAGTTGACTTCTTCGGTCCATTAGATCATGGTGGAAAATGAGTATTAAAGTCGCCAATAAGAAAATCAGATCTGTTTTACATTTAGAATGAGTTATTTTAAACAGAATAGTATCGATATGATCAAGAAATGGTTGAATGACAGGGTTAGGAGGTCGATAAATTGTAAACATTAATACTGGAAGAGAAGGAGTAAGAGTGAGCCTAGTACAATGAATCTCCCACAAGGGGTCATCAAATTCAGTGATACGAATACAATGGAAATCATTCCTCACATAAATAGCACATTCTCCGCCACGCCGATTATGATCCAGTTGTAAAGGGGTCTGGTAACCGGACAAATCGATCTCAACATTCTCGACTGTACGATCAATCCATGTTTTAGTAAATGAAAGCACAATAGGCTGAGTTAATGTCACATAAGCGCGAACCCTACCAATTTGAGAGGTCAAACTTCTTATGTTCATTGCTGAGATTCTCAAGTCAGTAGCCGTGTTTGTTACTACCGTTTAGTGAGTAGTTTGATATGAAATAATAAACCATTACCAGCGAGCGACCAAAGAAGAAAACAAGAACACAAGACAAAGAATGTATAAGTGAGGTGAGTAGAAGTAATATGATTAATAGGATGAATGGATGGCGATGATGAATGTGATAAATATGTGATAACTGGCATATATGTGAAAGAACCGGCAGAACAAAAAAAAAACTCGAAACTACATACAGAAACAAGATAAAACGTCATACATTAAGTTTCATTGTCATAGAAAGACATAAAAGTTAAAATGTCTACTAGCATGAAAAATGTGTTGGGTATTGATCGTTAGATACTAAATACGACACGTCCAGGTGCATAAAAAAGAGAAAATGCGTCTAGTGTAAGGCGATTTCCAACTAGATGCTATTTACGAGCGAACCTTTCGAGGTGATTAAACGCTTTTTGCTCAGAATCTATGGGTTATAGGTTATCGACCATGCTAATTCCAAATTTGGCCATGGGAGTTGCCCTTAGCCCTTCGAAGATCTGGTTTTCTAGAAAACCAGTTTTTCAGAAACTCTAAAACACGAACCTTTCTTAATAAGGCGTGATTGTAGCCCGCAAATTTTTGATTAAAATGAGACATCTCTCAGCTTTACACGACCTTTCTTTACAAAGTTATAGAATTTACAAGTAAAGTTCTAAGTGTTCATTGTCAGCTCAAAGCAGCAGGAATAAGACGAAACTAAGGCGTCGCTAATTCAAAAATCAAGTGGAACATAGCCTTTGAACTTTCAAACACATATTCTGCTTCCTCGGACGCTGCTGATCCCGAATCTGATCTTACTTTTTCCATTTGACCCTCACCCTCACCCTCACCCTTAATAAGGCATGATTGTAGCCCGCAAATTTTTGATTAAAATGAGACATCTCAAGTGGAAAATAGTCGAAGGCGGAGAATGTGCTATTTATGTGAGGAATGATTTCCATTGTATTCGTATCGGTCTTGGTCTAATTTTTCCTAAAAGGAAAAGGGTTTTGGAAAAAACGAAGCATACTTTTGTGAAGCAAGGCAAGGTTCGGCATCTTCTGGCATATGAAGGAAGTCTCTAGCTCTCATGACAAAAAACTAGATAGCATTGCGTGATGAGAACCTCAAGGTTCGAGTGATCAGTGTTTCAGCTACAAGAGTTTAAGACTTGAAGAAAAGTCATCGAATGTCAAGTGTCTAGATGTGCTTCACGATGCTGAATCCAAAACTCACACCAGTGAGCACGAAAATTGAAAAGATCAGGAGATAATCGGGATTTTTCTGAAAAATCGGTTTTTCGAGGTTTTTGACACCCTCACAGTATTTTGAGGTCTTTTGCATGAAAACTCGATCAAATGATTTGACATTTCTGAAAAACTGGTTTTCTAGAAAACCAGATCTTCGAAGGGCTAAGGGCAACTCCCATGGCCAAATTTGGAATTAGCATGGTCGATAACCTATAACCCATAGATTCTGAGCAAAAAGCGTTTAATCACCTCGAAAGGTTCGCTCGTAAATAGCATCTAGTTGGAAATCGCCTTACACTAGACGCATTTTCTCTTTTTTATGCACCTGGACGTGTCGTATTTAGTATCTAACGATCAATACCCAACACATTTTTCATGCTAGTAGACATTTTAACTTTTATGTCTTTCTATGACAATGAAACTTAATGCATGACTACCTATATGATGAATTATAAACAACTAGCACATCTATGTAAAGATGCCGATGTTGAAATGTATAACAAAAGTATCTAGATTATATTTCCATAAAAAAGACTTACGAAACCGTAGGAATTATCAAAACTTCGTTTAGTTGGTAAGGAATTAAGAACAACAAGTGGTTGTTTTCAGTCTGGCTCCAACCATTGCGATGCTTCTGTTTGGCCTAATGACTATGAAGCACACTCGTCAGACAAGACGAATTCAGGTAATACTGATAAATTCAAATTAAAGTCCAGTTAGGCGCAACACAGACAGGCACATGCTTCGAATGTTGTTGATCCGATGTCTGGTAATCACCATCATCAGAGCTCCTTTTTCTGTCGGATGGCTAAACGTGTCGTTGACAGCCAATCAAACGAGCGATGTGCTCTAAGCGGCCAAAAACAATTTATTAACTGGCTACCTGTCGGTGACAGGACCATGTATTAGTTTCTATTTGTTTATTTTATCAAGTGGTCTCTTTCACCTTGAACTAGCGAAATTGTTCAAACGTTGCTTCCGTCACGATCAAATGGAAAAACAACCAGTGCACACACGATCTAGAATAATTCAAGTCTTTTGAATATTTTTCAACATATTCCACCTTCTCATGTCGCTCTTTTCTTGTGTCTCATTCAGCTGTATCCAATAAATATTGTCAAGGATTCTATGAAACGAGAACAAACTATCTTGACTGTCGTGAATGAAACAACCAGCAATAGTTACAAAGCTGATATTTGGCCAGAAATTATGTCGGTTAGTCGCATACCAGAATTAGCCGAACAAGTGCTATTAACCAGTGAGCATGAACGTTTGCAGTTAGCAACAGAAAAACTACAAAATAGGTAGGAGCTTCAACCCCGTCGTTGCGGGATCCATCAACTGATTCCCTTAATAAAGACATGTTTGACGTGCCATAATCGATTGGAAGAACCAAAGTTCGATGAGATTAGTACTATCATTGGACGTGATAATGTTTATCAGTGTCTGCTATATAAACATGAGTGCTGTGATTTCATTTATAAATACGGACATGCAAGCAATCGGCAAACACGTGCACTGTATCATGTGATGAGTCTATACCGGAAATGAGTGCTGTGGCTATTGGTTGTCCACGTACACCACTCCGTTCATCTTCGAGTTTTTTGAAAAACTTGTCGAATAAGTATGTCTGTTCTGTTTATAAGCTTATCTACTCATTGTTCTTTTCTTCCAAAGCTATAGACAGAAACAAATGTAAACATTATTGTGTAGACCATTACAAATATACTCTGGAATCGAATACATCACAAAATTTATCTGTTACACAAGCAGTTGAACTCGATCGTATGGCTGATGAATTTGAGAATGTCGATGCATGCACTGTTCATCGTGACGATGATGATATTGACCACAAACGACGCACCGCTGGATTTATGGCTATCGTTTCCAATTGTAATGTGATTATAGGGTGGAACGAAAGCGTTTGTTTCGAAGGACTTCATCTAGGAGGAATATTACCACCTGCTGCTGCTTATGATTCTTCCTGTACTTTCGTTGCATATTTAAGAAATCAATATGGCGTATCTCTAATGTCATCTCCTTATATCCCTTTCCAGCCGGCTGTTTCGAAAACACAGCAAAAGTGTTACCAAATGGCAACATCAGGCTGGAAAGGGATATTGATGAATTACTACAAAAAAAATATTGTATCGATAGGTTTCATCGAAGAAACCACACAAAGCCTGAATGTAAAACTGTTCTTTTTTCTATTATTTTACTAAGTTTTTTTTTTCATTGTGTGCGCACGTATGTACCTGTACTGCTGACCGGTTAATAACTACTCGAACTGCATATTTGTGTGAATATTTTTTAATGGCGACTTGTAAAAAAACTATGGAACAATCACCACCATCGACGAATCCCACTCTTAAACGGTTATGTGCTGGTATTGATTTAAAACAAGCGTTTGTCCAGACGTTGTTAAATGATGAATCATTGCAGTCAGCTATTGCTGATGTCGTTCAGAAAAACGATAACTCAATTACAGTAGCTGCTGAGAAAATCGTTAATGTTATGTTTGACTCCCTCTTAAAACATTTATGCGATCAGATTGAATTGTTAGAAAGCCGTACTATTAAACTCGAACAAAAAACACTTGATTTGGAGCGGTACAATCGATCATTTAACTTGCGATTTTATGGGTTTGAAGAGAGAGGAACAAATGATAACACCAAGAAACGTGTGTCCGAATTTTTAACCAAAAATCTTGAAACTAAAATTCATCATCCAGTTATTGAAAATTGTCATCGGGTTGGTGTTAAACGTGCTGATAAACCCCGTCCTATCATCGTTGGTTTCCATTCGCGCCCTTTTCGTCAATTGATTTTGACATCGTTAACTAAATTGAAAGGACAAAACTTAGGGATAACCGTGGTTGAAGATTTAACAAAATAAATGTTAAACTTGTATTACAAAACGCGTGATGGTATTGATAATACTGAAAAACATAAAGTAGTTACACGACAAGGTCGAGTTTATATTAGAAATGCTGATAAATCTTTAACATTAGTTAAAGATCGTTAACCGTTCCTAACATGTGAGTGAACCTTTTTTTCATGCTCTCTTTATTTTTGCATGCTTGCCATATTTATCTTGCTTCTGTATGTAGTTTCGAGTTTTTTTTTGTTCTGCCGGTTCTTTCACATATATGCCAGTTATCACATATTTATCACATTCATCATCGCCATCCATTCATCCTATTAATCACATTACTTCCAAATAGCCCCTATAATCGATTTTAAAGCTATCTGAAAAACGTGTCTAAAACAGTGAAGACGAACACGCGAAAATTGAGCAAATATGCCGGTCGTAGAAAATTGTTTGCTCTAGAAGATGTGATAGCTTTTTAGGTTCGAAACTATTCTAATTAATCTGTACTAATCAAAGAAAAAACAGAAAAACTATGACACTTTTGACCGTTTTTTCTCACAGCGTCACGGTTTTCTGTTTTTTCTTTGATTAGTATAGTAGTAGTTTGACATAATTTGGATGAATTTTAACTGAGTTATGAATTTTTTAATTTTCGGTGAAAACAGACAAAAATGGGTTATTTTGCCTCATATAGGTTTTCGCCAGGTTTTTGAAACTTTTTTGAAAAATTAATGTTGCCACGAGATTTAGCATGGTTGATTACCTATGTTTCCATTTGTTTTCGGAATTACCACACCTAAAGCAATATTGATCTTGGAACTCTCAGGAACTGCGATGTCACGTCTGAACCAAGAAAAATTAAAAGTTCGCTTGGTTCCTCCTAGAAAACCGATCTTCCAAATCTTTTCGAAAAGGATTTTGCTTAAGAAAACGTAGGCAAAACTGTTTTCTTTCGATTGCTGAAAATCCCAGATCTCTGTCTTTTATCGTATTTGAGTTATTCAAAAACAATTAATTAGCGTGCCTCGTTTAGAAAGAATTAGCGCTCTTTTGATTCCGTTAAAAGTTAAAAAAATTAGTGTGATGTGTGTGGATGACGAATAACATTTTGTTTTATACGATGAGGAATTGAGGAACAAACTGCGGTGGCTTCTTCTCTGTTAGTTGTTCTCTCTTCTGTTGCTTTCTATGATGTGCTCATGCGACGATATTCTTTTTCTTTCGTACTCGACTATCTAGAAACAGAAAGAAAAAAGCTTTTTACCATCGAACGATAGTAGGAACACATAACAAAAACATTTTCATGTGCTGCATGCAAATAAAAAAGAAAAATGATGAATATTTTTTCTTACTGATTGCAGTAAAGTAATTTTGCACACAGTATTTCACAGGAATACAGTACATTGAATCGTGAAAACATTGTAAGTGAATAAAAGAGGCAGACATGCATTTGGAATCACTGGCAAATGAATTATTACTGGATCTGTTCGAATTTTTCGCATCCGTTGATCTATTTCGTGCTTTTGCTGGACTTAATTCTCGCTTTGACATTCTTCTCATAACACATTTTCAAACCAATAAGTATCTTGATCTCCGCCTAGTGTCCAAGCATGATTTTGACGTTATCCGTACACGATATCTTCGATTGTTTGTCAATCAGATCACGTCCCTTTGTCTCTCGGACGATGACAATACTCCACAACAAACTGATCTCTTTCTTTCGCGTGGTTTTGCTCTTCATCGATTCACACATTTGCGATCACTTTCACTATGTCATCTTCGTTCAAAACAGACAATGGAAACAGTGGTAGCGGATTTACAGCATCTTTTTCATTTGACTCATCTCAACTTCAACAACTGTTACCTTCGATACGAACCAAACAGCATTGTACGTATGATGAACAGTATTTGGAGTTTACCAAAGCTCACCCATTGCTGTATGGATATCTCTTTTGAACAGAATATTTGCCTCATCATACCAACGATAGTTTCATTATCTCTTGAACATCTGTCTATTGTGGGTAGCCGTTGCTACTTCGATCATCTAGCTCATCTGTATGAACATACTCCTCGTTTACAATATCTCAACGTGGATATTTGGGACTCTGATGACGATGATCCTCAACTCCCATTTGCGGTTCTGTCAATGATTACATTGAAATTTGCATGTCAAACCTCAGCAAGGCTAGTAACTTCTCTTTTGCAAAAGACGCCCAGTTTGAATCATTTGACAGTTGAAACAAAAGGCATTAGTATGGATGGGCAACTATGGGAACTAACCATAGTTAATTATTTGCCGAAGCTAAAAGTGTTTCAACTTAAAATGCAGTTGGAATTTATTAATCATGACAATATGGAACAACAAATCGAGCAATTACTTGACTCATATCGAAGTCAATTTTGGCTCAAGGAACATAAATGGTTTGTTCAATGCTATTGGAATCCAGAGGACGATGCTGGTTCTGTTTATCTACATACGTTACCATATGGCTTTGATGATTTTGATCTTAATATTCATGATGGTAGCCTCGTATTCAAATCGACTACTCCTCGTGATGATGATTATTGCTCGTATAGTCGTGTGCGTAATCTCTATTATTGTTATTATTCAACCGAAAACACAATTTTTGCTTGCATTCACTTTTCCAATATTCGCCACATAACGTTAACGCTTCCCTATAATGATCATCTTCAATCTGCAGTACCTCGACTCTATAATTTGGTTTCTCTCGACGTACGAATGAACACTTGGTGCCCCCATGATAATGATCTACCTCAGCTACAAGCTGTGCTCGATCGAGCACCTCGTCTCTATTCACTGAAATTCGGCTCCTGGGCGTCATCAGCTTCACAAACCAAACAGGCAAACAAGCTGCTAAACGTAAGTTAAAACGTACTTTACTTTACTTGTTTCATTTGTGTTTAGCCGCTAGGCATAGAAGCCAGAGTTGCGATACAAGTCTAGTGTTCGCCCAACAAATGAGCCGTATTCAAATTCTTTTATATTTCTGGTTATAACTTACGTGTATAACGCAAGAAATTGTAATTTATGTTCTGTAAATTACAACCTAAGAAGTTATAAAATGCATTTCGAGTAGTCTATACAGAACTTATTTTTCAGGCCGCATTTAATTTTGAATTGCGTCAAATCTGCAACACAGCCGACGAGATATTGATGCCTTGATCCAGCCCCCAAGCCCCTCTTAACCACGAATTTGTTCATAGATCGCGACCTACAGCCCACAATAACTGAGAAGCTGGTTGGAGTGTTAGCGCATAGCAATCTGAATCCTCTCATTCCTATTGTCGATCTCCCATGTATTAACCATCGTAAAAATGGGTTGTCTTTTTCGCAAACGATAAAGCGAATTTGACCGTCAAGCTTCATTGAACTGACGAGGAAAGGACACCAACGGGCAAATCGCTTTTGGCCTAAAACTAAGTGGAAAATAGGTTATCGACTATGCTGATTCCGAATATGACAATGATTTGGGCTGATAGGCCTTTGGAGACCGGGTCCCTGGAAACCTGGTTTTCCAAGG